TGTGGACGATCGAGGTAATTTCTGGCCGCCATCTCCTACTTCAATTCCCTGCCACCGTGTAAACACTAAACCTTAATGTCTCTAGACTGTGTTCATTACATCCCCTGTCGCTAGACAAATTTCGTTTTACCTGTAATAACTTTCGGTGATGGAATAAATTGCATGTAATTTTTCTTAAGATATATATATATATATATATATATATATATATATATATATATATATATATATATATATATATATATATACATGGGCAAAGTGAATATACCTAACAACCTTATATAAGCTTAGGTACCTAACCACATTATACTACATTGTTTTGCATTATATTTCCATTGCAATCGTCTAAGGTTCTTAAACTTCAACCCTTAACTTGATTTGCTTCCAAGATTTTCAAACATTCACCATTATATTCCTCCTACACCATTTGATTTGTAACGGTATTATATGAAGCCCACCAGGGGGTCTCCGATATAAAGACGTCATTTGAAGGAAGATAATGATGAAAGTCCAAAGATTTTGGAAGCAATCAAGTTATGAGGTTGAATTTTAAGAACTTTGGGTGATTACAATGCAAATATGAAACAAAATTACATAGGATGATGTGGTTAGGTACCTAAGCTTATATAAGGTTGTTAGGTATATTCACTTTACCCTATATATATATATATATATATATATATATATATATATATATATATATATATATATATATATATATATATATATATATATATATATATAGGTAAAGTGAATATATACCTAACAATCTTATATAAGCTTAGGTACCTAACCTCATCAAACTAGATCATTTTGCATTAAATTTTCATTACAATCATGCAAGGTTCCTAAACTTTATCCCTAAACTTGATTTACTTCAAAAAATTTTGGAAATTCATCATTATATTTCTCCTACATCATTTCATTTGTAGCGGTAGGATATGAAACCTATCAGGCGGTATTTAATAAAAATACGTGATGTAAAAGAAAGATATTGGTGAAAGTCTAAAGATTTTGGAAGTAATAAAGTTATGGGGTTGAAGTTTAAGAACCTTTGGCAATTACAATGTAAATATGATACAAACCGATGTTGTATTATGGAGTTAGGTACCTAAGCTTATATAAGGTTGTTAGGTATATTCACTTATCTCATATATATATATATATATATATATATATATATATATATATATATATATATATATATATATATATATATATAGGTTTAGGTTCATTTGAGACCACCTATATTTTGTGAGACCATGAGATGCATTTTTTATTTATTTTTATTTATTTTTTATTTTTTTTATTTTTTTTTAGTTAATTCATGTTCCAAAAATAATATTTAAAAAAAGAATTTTTTGATTTTTCCATTGATTTTGCATTTTAAAATTATTTTTAGAATATGTACTGTGTAATATTTTATTTAGAATATTTCACGTATTTTTTAAAAAAAAATAGATTTTTTTATTTTATTTTTTATTTTTTTAGTTAATTCAAGTTCTGAAAATAATATTTAAAAAAAGAATTTTTAGATTTTTCCATTTATTTTGCATTTTAAAATTATTTTTTAGAATATGTCAGTGTAATATTCTATTTAGAATATTTCACGTATTTTTCAAAAAAAAAAAACGGAATTTTTTTTAATTTTTTTTATATTTTTTTATATTTTTTTTAGTTAATTCAAGTTCCGAAAATAATATTTAAAAAGAGAATTTTTAGATTTTTCCATTTATTTTGTATTTTAAAATTATTTTTAGATTTGGTCTCACGGTTTCACAAAATTAGAATGATCTCAAATGAACCTGTATCTATATATATATATATATATATATATATATATATATATATATATATATATATATATATATATATATATATATATATATATATATATATATATATATATATATATATATATATATATATATATATATATGAGTTGTGATGAATTTTTATTGCTTCTCAAGAAACTCAACGGTATCATAGTTGTGAATCATACGTGATGATTTACTTGTGATTGATTTCTATTACATGTGATGGAAAAAAGAATTATTTTTTTTCTTTGTAATATTCTACAAATAATATCCCATGAAAAAAAAATTATTTTTTTTCTTTGTAATATTCTACAAATAATATCCCATCAAAATATATTTTATGTTCTCTATAGAATCAATTAGAATATAAATGTATAACAGAGTACATCCGAATCGAACACAATCAATAAATTGCATAACATACCTATCAAGGATGACATAAATTCAACTTTCGTTCATGAAATTTCACTTCTTTTATAGAAAAATTCTTCAAGTTGCTGCACTTGGAGTAAATACATGTATATATATCAAAAAATAATATCCTATCAAATTATATTACATTATTCTTTATAGAATGAATTGGTATATCACGATTCGAATACGATCAATTAATTGCATCAGATACCTGTTGAGGATGACATAAATTCAATACATTTGTTCCTGTCACTTTGCATTCTTTCAAGTTGATGCATCTGGAGGAAATACATCCAAAGTCACATGTTTATTATATATTTAGCTTGGTTGGGGTTTGATGCTAAAGCAATTACTTACCATCATTAAAATTTATTTGGAAAGTCATTAGAGAATATGAAAAAACATAGAAGTTTTCACCATCCATAGTTCCATTCGTAGCTTTAAAATTTTAGTTATATAAAATGTGTTCATGTAAAATTAATTACCTTGAAGGTGAAAAGGTGTGAAAATTTCAAATGCATAAAGTGTTTGAAAATTTGTTTAGCGGTTTCAAATGAATGAGGTGATTAGAAAAAAATCTTCTTTATAAGTATAGTATGATAATATGATAATAAGGTCATGCAGAGCGGAGCGGGAAACAGATGCGGGAGGGCTTCCCTCTCACCGGAACACCGCACCGTCGGTGAGAGGAGCAACCCGTGGGAAGGAGGTGGGGGGAGGGGGTGTCGCACTCTCTCTCCTGTTTCTATTGGCTAGTTCTTTTTTTTTTTCTTTTTTAATATTTATAAAATTATATACCTATTAAAAAATATATCAAAATTCATGGTTTTTAATACCCTACAAAATGAGTATTATATATGTATGAAATATATTTTTTTAAAAAAAATAAAAAAATAGTGAGGGGAGTGTCTCACACATTCCTTGAGTTTTAGTGAGGGAAAGGAAAATAAAGGAAATGATGGCTTCACATGAAAAAAGTGAGGGAAACTCGTCACCTACACCATGCGGTCTAATAGATGATAGATATGTAGATATAAAGAAAACGTGAAAAGAATAGAAGGAAGTGTTTGATATATAGGCTAAATATTTCAATTAAATAATTATTCAAACAACATAAGTGGAAGAGTTGAAGATTTTTAAATGAATATGGTTCAAGATAGATGGTTTATCTTAAATAATATTTATTTGAATGACCTTATATATAAGGGGGGAGGGAGACATTCCACCCAACCCAGTGAACCTACTGTCACATTAGTTTTTGTCTCTCATGCTTCTTTATATTTCTTAACCCACAACACACGGAAATCCTATTTTTCTCGACGCACTCAACTCACTCAATTAAAAATACAAAACAACTAAGGTACAAATTTTAAAACACATGGTACAAGAAAAAATAAGAGAGTGAAAGTAGAGAGAAATGATGAAGTGAATTAGTGAAACCAATTAAACAATCTGCTGAAGAGGGAGTGGTATCGACGATAACTTTATTGCTAATTAAGATTTTACCATAATTGTTTTGTAATTTTTTTTTTTAATTCAATGGGTTGAGTGGGTTGAAAAAGGTAATGTTTCTGTGTGTTGTAGGTTGGGAAAAATAAAGAAAAATGAAAGAGAAAAATTGATGTGGCCGTGAGTTCAGTAAGTTCGGGGAATAACTCCCTTCTCCCTAGGATATAGATAAAAATAAACAATAACTTATCATTCCTAAACATTAGTATCAAGTGTTAAATAAAAAATCATAATAGAAAACACCGCAAAAACCTCCAAATCCAAGAACAAAATTTGCATATAAAAAATTGACTTTAGAGCCAATATATTTGGGAGAGACGTAATCTTGTTCATTCTTCATGAGTATGCCTTCAAGAGCTTGGTGTCTTATTTTGGTGAAGAAAACTCTAAAAAAACACTTAGAGAGAGAAGGTATCCAAAGAGACATTGGCAAAAAAAAAAATAATAAATAAAAATAAATAAATAAAAGAGTTTATGAATTTAGGCTCTTGTTGTTGCAACTACTAAGTCTCAAATACTTCCATCAAGTTATACAAAAGAATGGCTTAAAGTCGGAAAGGCTTTGTTCAAACTTTTATCAAATTTCAATCATTATTATCAAAGAAAAAAAAACTATATAATAATTACTATTGATGCAACATAACTTATTTCTTCAAAACTATTAAGTCTCAAATACTACCCTTAAGTCATACAAAAGAGTGGATTAAAGATGGAAATTCTTTGTTCAAACTTTTATCAAATTTCAAGCATTGTTATCAAAGAAAAAAAATCATATTACAATTACCATCGTTCCGACATAACTCATTTCTTCAACTTTTTATATTTGAATTGTAAATTCTTTAACTACATGAAAACTTTTTGTGAGAAAATATTACTAATATTTGAATCGTAAACGTTTGAATTATACAAAAGCTTGTTGAATCATAATACATTCAACTATATATGAATGCTTTTTGTGAGAAAATATTAGTAATAGAGGTACATATATATCAAGAGAATACAAAAAATTATTGAAAATTTATAAATATCGTAAATGCTATTAATTAAAGAAGATAAAAGGTCATTTATGCTTCAAATAAATAAGGTTTCATAAAACAAATTATATAACCAGAATTTCAACGACCTCATTTATAAAAGATAGATAGATACACATCATTCCACATCACGACACCTATGCATGTTGTGTACTACATTGAAGAAGCTAAAGAAGGCTTCTCGTGTGCCATAACATTTGCACATACCACATCCGACCACGCCACATCAGGATGATGTACACATCAATAGCTTTTTGTACAACTCAGCACCACCCCATAAGTGTGGTATGTATACCTTACAACCTAAACAAACACCAGACACATATTCGAAAGATTTACAAGTTTTTAAAACATTATGACCGAAACTAATACATAATACGACTTTTAATACATAATGTACAAGTCATTGTAACATCACTCTCTTCTATTTCTATGTATTTTGTGTTTCAAGATGATTATTAGTTTCTATATTAATTTAACAGAAAATATACATAAAAGTAGGAATAAATAAATTATAAAAAAATTTTAATTTGTACTGGGCAAGAAGGGATCTGACATCTGTTTTGTTGCTTTCAAACCTGAAAAAGCCCAGTAAACAACCCCAGCTGAAAAAAACCCAAAAAACCAAGCATTGTTGTAAATCATCACTAACAACTCCGGAATTGAATTCAAGACTCCTATCTTCTCCAAGAACCCGGGAATCACCGGTAGAATCCCGATTACGAGAGCTGCAATTGCTCCTAAATTGTAACCATTATAGTAAAAGTAATTCCCAACAGGATTCAACGTATACAAGTCGTTAATTTGAAGATTCCGGCTCTTGATGAGATAATAATCGGCCAACATGATCCCTGTAATCGGCCCCATTAACGCAGAGTAACCCACAAGCCAAGTGTACACAAAGCTTTCACTCGATTGAAGAAGTCGCCATGGTTGGAACGCAATTCCAAGCAACGCAGTCAACAGCGCACCTCGCCGGAAAGTGAACAACGATGGACTTAGGTTCACGAGGGCGTTCGCCGGAGCTACGACGTTGGCTGCAATGTTGGTTGTGATGGTGGCTAGCGTGATTCCGATGATGGAGAGAATCATGGTTGAAATCCCACCGATTTTTCCCAATAATTCAATCGGGTTCGAGATTACACGTCCGAAGATGACCTGCGTCGATGCCGTCACTGCTAAACCGACGAACGTGAAAGCACCCATGAGAATCGGTAGTCCAGCTTGACCGATGATTTGATCCTTTTGGCTCTTGGCGTAACGAGTGAAATCGGGGATGTTAAGTGCTAATGTCGCCCAAAAGCTTACGTTTGCAGTCAACGACGGGAAAAAAAGCGCCCAGAACTCCGACGACGACAGGCGTGAAGACATGGAGAGAACTTGACCAAATCCGCCGGCGTTGACATAAGCCCAAATGAGTAAAGCCGAAGTGAGAACGATCAAAATTGGGGCAGAATATTTTTCAAGTTCCCTGATTCCATCCATTCCTTTGATTACAACCACTAATTGCGCAACCCAGAATACCAAAAAACAAGCGAACTCGATTGGGGAAGTTCCGAGCCATGGAATGGAATTGGAAAGCGATGAATTCTTGATGGATTTTGGCAAGAGTAAGAAGATTGCTTCACCTCCGATCCATGTCTCGATTCCATACCACCCACAAGCTACTAACCCTCTAAGTAGAGTCGGAATATGTGCACCATGGATTCCGAACGCCGATCTAGCAAGCACCGGAAACGGAATCCCGTACTTAGTCCCTGGATGACCGGTCAATCCCAAGGCGACAACTGTGATTATATTCGCTGTAACCACTGTCAATATTCCTTGCCACCAAGACATTCCGAGATCCACAAGGCTGCCGGCGAGGTAATACGTCGGGACACCCACCACTAGACCCACCCACAAACTGGCCATTTCCCAACCGGAATAAGTTCGTTGGGACGCCGGCGTTGGGGCGAGATCGTCGTTTATGAGAGTTGGGTCGGGTTGGAAGTCCGGAATGGAATCGGGTAGAGTGGATGACATGGGTCGGAAGAGGAGGGGTTTTCTGTGGAGGGAAAGTGGTGATTTGATGGTTGGAATTGAATTGAATACATTGGAAAGGGGAAGGGAAAAGGGAAGGGAATTGAGATTTTGTTTTGAGAGGGTATGTCGATGATCATGGTGGTAGGGACGATGATGGAGATGGAAGCTCAAAGAGTTGGAAACCATGATTCCAGTGTAAAGATTCAGAAATGAGAATGGGTGGATGGAATCAGTTTTGGAGTTGGGGGATATGGTGTGATTAAAAGATGTGATTCCGATGCATCTTGTTAATAGTATGTGTTATGGTCTTCGACTGTTTGTTTATTACTATTATTTTTTTCTTTTTGACAATAATATTTGATAGGGATAATGAATTGAAAGGCAAATAAACTTTTGATTTTTGTCACATTTAGTCATTAAATTTTTTTTCGTTATCTATTTGCCATTGAACTATTGAAACTGTTCACATTTTGAACAAAATCAAAAGTTCGTTTCCCTCTAAAAAGTTCAATGACTAAATGTGAACAAACTTCCTCTTGTATTATGTTTTAGCAAATTATTTATTTTTATTAAATTGTAGCAACACTTGTTGATTAAGAAATCTATGAAAAAAAAAAACAAACAAAAACAAAAACCTGAAAATATATTTAAAAAAAAAAACAAAAAACAAAAACCGAAATAAAAAACTAATGGTTTGACATTTCTAAAATAAAAAATCAAAATTTCCAATCTGATTTTGGTTTTACAAAAAAATAAATCATTCTCACTGATGTGAATTATGACCATTGGTTTGGCATGCAAATTTTGTAACATCCCATGAATATGTACTTACAACATCGTCTGAACTCGTAATTCATAGTAAGGGATTAGAGTATCATCGCATGAATACGTAGTTACAACATCGTCTGAACTCGTAATTCATCACCTACAGGTTATGGGCCTGTTGGTGTTTCCACTGGGTTGTCTAGAATAGTCAGTGGTCGCCATCTATACTCTGGTAGATGACTACATCGCCAAATTGCTGGTTAACGTTATGGTATCTCCTTTCATCCTACATCACATATTCATCATTATCTATTTACCTTGTTATCATCACATTTCTATCATCACATATCTCTCATCATTTATTTCATCACACACCAACTATTTCATCTACCCATGTTTCATCCGCAACATATTTCTGGATATAAAATAAATATACCGTTTAAATCTTTTAAAACATGTATAAAATCGTTCATCCAGCATAGACAATGTAACACTCTAAAAATTCAAGCCAATTTAAACTTTTTAAAAACATTCCAATTCATTAAGTTATTACAAAAAGGTTTTCAATACATTTATTATCAGAGTATTCCCAGAACCATAACATAAACATAAGCATGAAGAATGGTACGATCACGCCTTCGCCTTGCCACGGTCTCCAGAAGTACCTGAAAAACATTAAACCAAAATTTTAAGCCCGAAAGCTTAGTGAGATACCCCCAAAATACCAACCACATATACCACGCATAACATATCATAACCGAACAAGACAACCATGCACTTCGGGTCTACTGTGTGACTGGTCCGCCGCACCGGGCCTTCAGTCCACCTGGTCCACCCTCCGAGTCTAGCCATATCCCGCGAGTCTGTAGTGTGGTTGGTCCGCCCGCACCAGGCCTTCAACCCACCTGGTCCACTCTCTGAGTCTACAGTATGACTGGTTCGCCCACATTGGGCCTTCAGTCGGCCTGGTCCACTCTCCGAGCCTCGGCACGTCTGGTCCGCCCTCGTGGAGCCTACAACCTATCCGGACCGCTTGATAGGCCTTCGGAATAACCGGTCCGCACTGGGTATATTGGCCTACAGCACAAAGCAGGACCCGCCTCAACCCAACCCTGGTCAAAAAACTATGTGTACATAAACATAAAATCATATAACAATTCACATCCAATATGGCTCGGGCCCAAAGATTTAGGGTTTCTGCCAACAGCGCGGACTCGTCGAGTCGCCTCACCGAGTCGTCAAGTCTATTCATTAATCTGAGTCATCAGTTGCGACCTTACTCGACGAGTTGAGGCGTCAACTCATCGAATCTCTCTTCTTAACTCAAAAGAAAAATACTTAAATTATGATACACGGAAATCCGGATGTTACATTTTGTTTTTTTATTTCATAGATTTCTTCATCAACAAATGTTGCTACAATTAAACAAAAATAAATAATTTTGCTAAAACATAATACAATGGGAAGTTTGTTCACATTTAGTCATTGAACTTTTTAGAAGGAAACGAATTTTTGATTTTGTTCACATTTAGTCACTAAAATGTGAACAGTTTCAATAGTTTAGTGGCAAATAGATAACGAAAAAAAAGTTTAGTGACTAAATATAACCGGCTGTTACCGGTAATAAGGGTAAAATGTGAACAATTTCAATAGTTTAGTGGCAAATAGATAACGAAAAAAAGTTTAGTGACTAAATGTGACAAAAGTCGAAAGTTCGTTACCCTTTCAAGTCATTATCCTTATTTGATATTTTCAAACAACGTGATCCATATATAACGTCTCTTCTATATGCGGTGTAAATTAGAAGTTTTGGGCTAAATGAAAAATAATAATAATAACTAGATGAGAAGCCCATGCTTCGCATGGGTCAAAAGTTTCGTTCTTTTATAATGTTCAAAATTACGAAGGAAGGCACGTATAGAAGTTGGTTGTTGCTTATATTATATTAAAAGTTAATACCATATACATGGGCCAAAGACATTGATAACATGATGCAATTTCTAATAATTAATGATTCTAAAAACTACGAAATTGATAATACCAAGTTTTTGTGCGACAACAATCAAACAAATTACCAAAACTGCCCTTTTGCATAAACGGTTTACTATTGCTATCAGAATTACGACTTTCTATTTTCAACAACTCTATGTGAACGCTAAATACCATAAGATTCATTCAACAACTTCATGATGCACATTTTTTAAATTAAAATACATTAATGAAAAAAAAAACACAAAAAATACACGCGAATTTTCATGATGATTTCTCATCTTGTCTTTGCGATGGTCAACTCGATTTTAGTGGGGCATGATTTTAATGTTTTTTACCTGAGCATCCATTTCTGGTCAAGCTTTGGTGCTAGACTCCTCAGAAACAAAATGTACAAATTGATATCATTTTCAGTTCCAACTCTTGTGATCACATATAAGGTTAACTACAATGGACCGGTTCATAAGATCAAGTCAAAATCCAATATAATGAAGGTATTTTAACGAAAAAGAACTAATAAAATTTAATTCCATATGTCCTCGCTTAAGAATATTCAACCTATCAAACACGGAGTCAACAAATTCTTATGGAATTGAATTCCAAAACAGACAATGGAATGGAATCTGAAATTCCAATTCCATCGGAATCCAAAAGGCTATTTTCCATAATAAATGGTTCAACCTTTAAGGTAACAGTTTTTTGCAAATTGACAACCTCTATAAAACGATATCTATCTCTCGAATAAAATGGTGTAATTTATAAAAATCGAAACAATAATATATAATAATAAGTTAATAAGCACAACTAATTTCAATAATCGAGACCCACCTAATTACTTAACTTTTATAACACCACATCCTTCACCTTTTAGGCTTTTATTCGTTTGGTGATACATGGAAGGTAGGATAAACCCAGAAGACAACATGAAAATATTGACAACTACAACTAAAAGTGGACAACATTCTAGGAATCTCAAAGAGTAAACTGCTTCCATTATATGTAAGAACATCAGGGATAAATTCCGACAACAATCAAAAGTGCGACAACATTCTAGGAATCTCAAAGAGTAATCAGGTTTATGTTGAATTAAATGTAAGAAATAACAATGTGATTTTTACTTGAAGCATCTTACTTCCATGTCGGGCACTTTCTCTTTTGGTCCAGGGGCAACCCAACCTTAAAATGAACTGTTAAAGCTCATTGAATCTGTAACTAAAAATTAGAATGATAAGATTGTAATTAATGTGAAAAATACATATTTCAATAGTGGTATAGACCTTAAGTTGCTTGTGGTTATCAGGTTATGGAGTTAAATATCCACCACGTGTCCCAAATTAATATTTCTAACACATATAATAAATAAATACTGCCCATGTTGGAAGTAAAACTCTTCCACTTAAAATTTTCATTCATAATCCAGATTTAAAATAATCAAAATAAAGGAGTCGGGTTTAATTTGCTTACATGAAAACAGGTGAATATGAGATTGGATCTTGTTGATGTTGTCATCTGCCAAAGACGTTTATTTCATATACCTCAACTGTTCAAACATTTCTCCATGTAAAGACTCGTGTCTTCTCCAATATCTCTAAGACATTTCAAATTTCTTATAATTAGTAAGAAATACAACAAACCCTACATTCTTATTGATGAGAGGGTTTTTTTTTTTTTTTTTTTTTTTTTTTTTTTACATCAGAACCCCCATCAAACAATCAAAAATATTAGATAAGGAAAATGGTGAAATTATAGGGGACAAAAAATGCTTTATAAAACCAAAATTAGTAATTAGTGTGACTAACCAGATCTTTAATTGGCACATATCTTCCTGCAAGACCCGATTACTCCATGCCAGCTTTCATTCACAATCTTCCCTATGCAAGGAACAATGTTCTAGGCCTTTCTCATCTTCCGGATTGTGTACAGACATATAAGATTGTAAATTGTCTTTATGGACTAATAATAGGCATACAAAAATTTATTATTATTTTTTAATAAGCTTTACCGACAACCTCAATAAACCTCAAGATAATAAATTTAGTTGTTTATATTAAAGGGAAAATAATAATTTATTATATAAATATGCATTTCAGTTCGAGATCTAAGTAAAAATAAATAAATAAAATGTAAATCTTCAATTTAATTAAGGAAAAAAGTAACCAATTTTCAGGGAGATGAATTCCAAAAGCTAAGAAATCTGCAACTTTGTCACCACTATAGACTACGAAATTCCTGAAATAAGATGAAATGATTTAACCATATAATAGAAAATAATAAAAGAAACTCGATATCATCAGTATAAAAGCACTTACATGGGTCTCTTACCATGTCGACATGTCCGGTGATCGGAGCTCAGATACGTCCGGTTAGCTAGTTAAACACACCCACCAGCCACCACCGATCTTTCAGGTGACAACCGAGAGCTAGAAGTTACA